GCCGCAACACTGGTTCATTTTCTCTCTTTGACGTCAAGTTTATCTACTCGCTATTTGATATTTTTATGCTGATAAACATCTTTTTATGTGTATCAGTAGCACACTCTACACCATTATTACTTTTGACCATAAATTTGTTTATAACTAGGGGGGCGGGTATTGGTGATCTCATTGTCACCCCATTTGTTTGAATATGTCATTTATTTATTAATACTTTCCTAATGTGTGTTATTTCAAATAAACTTATCCAATGTGGAATTACATTCTACACTTACATTAGTAACCCCGTTTGTTTGTTTGTGTATTTAACTTTGGAATTTGAATACAGTGAAATTTAGATGTGATTGTACACCTGTTATTTCATCAACCGACAGCTTTGGTCTATTTGTGAGTTCATGATCAGTGTCCAGTTCTCATTGCCAACTGCCTCTAGATCTGCATTTATTCGGATTTTTTTATTCCTTTACATTCCCAGTGGAACATAGGGTGCCTTCAAGCTAGAGGCTTGAAGTTTCGCTAGCAGTGGTGTTCATTTTTAAGGCATGGATTTGCTAGCCTCATGCTTAACCTTCCCCCTTTACCAGTCGTACTCCTGGCTTACTGCGGTAAAGGAGTGCATCATTGGTTGGGGATCGAACCCCAAACCATATGCTTGGTTGGCGAGTATCCTACCGCTGTGCTGCCAACGCACATTCATTCGGATATTGATGCATAAACTCTGATCCTTGATGTTTTATTAATCACACTAATTCAAATGCCCATGACTAATAAGTCATTACGTAAATGTAAAGCTTGATGATAATTCCCCGAAAATACATATTTGCTTAAATCGTGTTCTTTAAATTTCAAACATCAAAAATAATCATTTTTAAATCTTTTGCTGTTTCAACATTATCTAACTTTCGTTTCATTACGTATGAATTAGTTAACCTAGATTCTTTAGCTAGAATTCTAATTGGCCCATCATTGCTTTAGAGGAATAAATTTATTAGTGTCCGTTGTTCTATGGGCCATTATAACGTCAGTATGAAAAATAATTGCTTAGTAATCAGGATATTATCGGAAAAATTTGAAAATACTAGACAACCTCAAGGAATCTAGACTTTAAGACTGAATTTGATGCATCAGTTAAATATCAGAATTGGAATTTATCATCATTATTATTGTTTCCTTTAATTCGTAGAGGAACACTGGGCTTCAGACGTACGTCTCCATTGCATTCGGTTCTCTGTCAACGTTTTCACTTGGCTCCACGTCTGCTCACATGCTTTCATCTCCTCTTAACATGACCTCCTCCATGTCACCCCACCCTCTCACTGACGACCAACTCGCAGCTTCTTATTAGGGTTACACTCGAGCGATGGCCTGGCGTGTCATGTCACTTGATGGATTTCTAATAGTATGGTCAATCCACCTCCATTCCTTCATTCTTATTTGTTGCACAATCGGTTCCTGGTGGGTTGATTCGCTCCCAGAGATCCCTGTTGCTGATCTTTTCTGGCCGGCCATCTGGTCTTGAGTATTGAGCGAAGACAGCTGTTGATGGAGGTCTGTAGTTTGTACGAAGTGCTCTTTGTGACGCACTGGTCAAGTCTCTGATCCATCCGTATAGTTGCACTGACTTCACATTGAAGTTGAAAATCCGGATCTTGTTTCTCATGCTGAGTGCTGTTGATCTTCACACAGACTTGAGAATAATTAAAGCTTGTCTTGCTTCCCCGATCCTCGTTGCTTTGACACCCTCGTCAGTTCCGTCAGCCTGTAGTTGAAACGATGCTTCCCAGGTAGATAGGTATGCGAAGGAGGTTGTTTCTTTCAGATTCAGTTTCTCCCATTTATGATGATTGTTGTCTGTTGTTGTTGCTGTTGGCCAGGAATCTTCATCATCACCTCTGTCTTCTCTATGTTCACCTGAAGTCCTTCCTTTCTTCCCTGGATGCTCCTTCTATCGTCAACTTGTTGCTTTTCACTCGCATATCTTCCAGTTTGTGGGAAATCAAACAAATATCATTGACGAAGTCCAGATCCTCCAAGTTTTATTTATGGGTCCATTTTGTGCGTGTTTCCTCGCTGCCCGCCGCTGTCTGTCACATTATCCAGTCTACCACATTCAAGAAAATCATTGGAGATAGTAGGCAGCTAGCCAGTCTTGTTTTACTCCCGTCTTCACTTCGAAGGATTCATTGAGTTTTCCGTTGTGGATTACTTGGTATGCCAAATTGTCGTACAAATGTTGGATGAGGTGTAAGCCAAATTAAAATTAATTTTTTATCTAGTTAAGACGTATCTGCAACGCTGAATTAACGAATATATTCTCAGAGGTTAGAAAACACCTCCGAAAGGGTACCAGATGCATATCTCCATTCTAATTTGTTATCCACAGTCTCTTTTAGCTGACTCCACAATCGCCCATTACGTTTCGATTCCTCCTCACATTTTGTCCTGCATGTCATCTGGGAGCCACACCAAACTCGTCGTTTCACATTTGGGTTCAAACTGAAGATCTGCTGCGCTACGTTCCGTCTCCTCGGCATATGTCCACATCATCTACTATTCCTCCTTCATATTAGTTAGGCAGTGGGTTACTTATAGACTGACTGCCGGACTACCTAGTTTATCCGCTTATCTGATACTGAGGATCTAGCCGGCGATGGAATTACTTGATGAAAGTCTTCAATAGTACGTAAGAAAGGTGCGGAGTGAATGGCTGATTTCATTTGCCGATAGTAGAATGGATGTAAAATTTACTATTTTAAATTGAATCTTTGTTTTATATCATAGTGGATAAAACTAATTTGATTAAAAAGTGTAAAGATCCCACAATAGAAAAATATCTTAGTAGGGTTTCAGTGTTTCTCCGTCACAATAACACTGACAGTTACCAAATTCTTGAAGTTATTGGAAAAAGTTCTACGCCAGCAAAACAAACCTGCATTAATCTGAAATCAGTGTGAAAATCTACTGCACCAAAAATTAAAAGGAAAAACAAGATTCAGATTTTCAGCATTAGTGTCAAGTCAGTCACTGTTTCTATGTGGCTCAGAGACTTTTATCAACATGCACCCACTTTGCTCTATAGATAGCCTGTTAGAATTGACTGGAGACAAGGAACTCCGCCAAACAAACAACTAACCAAAGACCTATTATCCAACAAATATCCTGAATAAAATGGAGATTGCTCAGGTGCATACTAAGGAGATCACTGAGTGTTATCGCGCTGCAGGCTATCACTCCAGTCGGACCCGAATGAGAATGAAACAGTTGAGCATCCGAAGGTGATAGATACTGTAGAGATCGTGTGAGTAAGAGGACGATGAGAAGGAGGAGGATGATATGAAGGCTTAAAAACTAAACTGGATCCGGTGAAAAGACGACTGCAGAAAACAAGATGAATTGGAGATTTTCTACTGAAGTCTTATACTCCACTCTGAACCTAAAGGAATTGTAATATAATGATATTAGATGGTTGGAGGCAGTCGGCAGGAAGCCTTGGACCTAGATTTCGTGGTAGTTGGCACTCGTCAGCAAGGCGTATCTGCAACCTTGAAGGAACTGAAGTCATTTTTGAGATTCGAACCCGCGTCACCCAGTGAGCACTACAATCAGAGACGTTACCACTGAGCCATTCGGGCTCGCGATTGACCTCCTGTAGGACTGTAGTGGATATTTTGATTTGACACTAGTAAGTAGTGTAATGCGTCTAGTCCTATCTTTGGTGCAGACTGAATTCTATCAATCAGGTTGTAACGTGGCCACCACTCTATGTAGCTCGCCATCACGGTGTACATTGTTTATATATATATATATATAATTGTGATATAATGTAACAATAATCGTGTTTACTTAAATCATAAAACTCCTTAACGCTATGCTTCGAAAAATGCTGACACCGTCTGATTCAAAAATAGCCCATTTGAAACAGAATTCACCAGATGTAAATGGTTGAAATTTTGTTGATTGTGTTTTATTTCATTAAACATTACAGTCTTGTTCTCCTTGGTGTGTTTCATACTACGACAAATTCAAATTATTGTTCCTTGATTAGGATTTTTCTTGTGATATTGATTTGATCTCTGACGCCAATAAGTAAAAACACAATATTCCAGAGACTCGCGCTCTTTAATGCCTCTCTAACTGATACCGATTCATGTTATGGTCTACAATGAATACGAATCAGAATCCCCGACATATATTCAAAACAATCCGTAATGTTTGCGAATTTAGTAAATAAGAGTGATAGGCAATAACCTGACTCAATTTGGTGGTTGTTTACTAGCAGTACAATCCAGGATGCGCATTCTGCTCTATTTGGGACTCGTCATCTGGAAGAACCTGCATTCTCCAGTGGGCGATATTATCCCCAGTGAGGCTCGAACCCAGTACTAGTCGTTTCAAACGCCCAAGCGTTACTCAGTCGACCACTTGGGCCATAACAGTCACCTGTTCTGCAATGGGTGTCAGTTATTATTTATTCTGATTTTCCTGTTGAGCAACTCGACTGAAATATTTAGCTTTGGCGTTGACAACGATGAGTCCTGGATTTGAGCCTCAGCAGTAACACCATCAGTCACTAGAGAATGCAGGTAAGTCCAATGACGAGCCCTGGATAGGACGAAACGCATCTCCTAGATTCCACTGCTAGTCACCATCCTCAGACATTATCGAATCGCCTGCACAAAGAGTCGACATGTCAACAGAAGCCGTAAGAAATTTCTCTCCAATCAATAATCAGCGGGGAAATCAAAACAGAATTTAAAATAAATAAATCATAAGAGTGGAAGGTAATTTTATTAGCAATGTAGGTAAGATTTTCATTTTTTTTATGTTATTCCACTTATTTGACTATTTGAATGACCATTAATTTTTAAAATTCTTTTATATTATGTTTTAGTGTTTAGAAATATTCTCTACCTCTCTCCCTCTGTCTAACCTGGAAGGCAAGATCTTTTGAAAAACTTCATCATATTGTCTGTAACTAGAAAATAATTATGACTGCAAATATGGGATTATTGTTATATTTGAAGGAGTTGATAACTTTAACCATCAAAGTAATCCTTAGCATTATTTATGATTGCTTTGAAACACTGAAATTGTACATGTTCCCTGTTTACAAGGATATCAGTGAGGATGTTATATTAATTACAGGTGAGTAATTTATCTAACTGAAGATGCCTGTTAAGACATTTACAAATTTGTCATCAGATCCTGCATTTTTATACGACCATTATAATTAATGGAATATTGTTTTAATAAGAACATTAAGGCTGTTTTAAATTACACTGAATCATCAACAGTATCGACAAATTACATTTCAAGAGCATCTGTAAATGATGATGTAACTGCTGACGGGTCCCAAACTAGACTGACGAAACAACTGTCCAGTACTTCGCGCTGGTTTTCCAATGGTTCTCCAGCTGATATCAGCTCATGATGAAATCCTACAACCAATCAAACAAGAAATCCAAATGAACTGTTGTCAAGATTTGACAGAATAGTTCTAAAATATTTGGGCGCCGACTGAGAAGTAGACATTTGTAAAAAATCATATTTGTAAAATATCAGCGAGATTGAAATGAATAATTCCAACGTTTCGTTCTGCAATCTGGTCCGAACTTCTTTTACAAATGTCTACTTCTCACTTGGCGCCCATATATTTTAGAACTATTCTGTCAAATCTTGACAACAGTTCATTTGAATTATTTTGAAATCGAATTAAATTAACAAAGAAACTGTGTAACTGGCACAATAATCGTGTTTTCACACTCCGTTGTCTGCAACAGAATTATTATAATATTATTGTTCCCTTGGGTTCCTAGTGGAACATAGGGCTTCAACTGCACGCCTCCACTTGCTTCTGTCTTCTGCTGTACTTTTCACCTGCATCCATGTCAGTCCATACTGTTTCAACTCCTCTTCACACGATCTCCTCCATGTCACCCTTGCACTGACGTCCCACTCGTCACTTCCCTTTCGGGTTCCACTCGAGCGTTGGCCTGACGCGCGATGTCACCCAATGGCCTCCTCAGCGAGTGTCCAATCCATCTCCACTTTCTCCTGCATATTTGTTGAGCGATTGGTTCCTGTTTTGTTCGTTCCCATAGTTTTTTGTTTGTGATTCTTTCCGGCCATCTAATCTTCAGTATAGAACGAAGACAGTTGTTGATAAAGGTCTGCAACAGGCTGTTGGAAATATTCTTTGTGACACACTGGCCAAGTTTCTGATCCGTATAGAAGAACTGACTGACTTGACGTTTGTATTGAAAATCCGAATTTTGTTGTTGATGCAGGCTGAGTGACGAAGATTTCCAGATTGGTTTCAGTTTGATGAATGTGTTTCTCGCCTGCCTTCCCGATTCTCGATTTGACATCCTCGTCCGTTCCTCCTGTAGTTGAGACAATGCTCCCTAGATAAGTGAGTGAAGTAACCTCTTTCAAATCCCACCCGTTGATGGTGATTGGCGCTGGATGTTGCTGCTGCTGTTGTTGTTGGTTGGTTGGTTATTTTCATAACCTCCGTCTTGTCTATGTTCACCTGGAGTCCTGTCTTTGCTGCTTCTTCGACCAGTTTGTCGGTTTTCGCTTGTAATTCTTCGATTTTATGTGACATCAAACATAAATCATCCACGCGCGAAATTCAGGTCTTCTAGGTTCTTCACGTCGGTCCAGGATATCCCTGTCTTCTCGTTTCCCACTGTCTGACGCATAATCCAGTCCACCACAATTAGGAATATCATTGGTGATAATAAGCACCCTTGTCTGACTCCTGTGTTTACTCCAAACGCCTCGCTGAGTTTTCCGTTGTGGATCACTTGACATGTGCCGTTGTCGTACAGTTGTTGAATAAGGTTGATGAATATTTGGGGTACGCCGTAGTACTCGAGTAGTTTCCAAATTACTTCGCAGTCAACGCTGTCGAAGGCCTTCTCAAAGTCTATGAAGGAAGTTGAGGTAGAGGTTTGATTGCCATTCCATGCTTTGTTCGATGATGATGCGTAGGGTTGCAATTTGGTCAGAACATGATTTGCCTTTCCTGAATCCAGCTTGTTCTGGTCGGAGTTCTGTATCCAGTGCGTCCTTGATTCTCTCCAGGATGATGCGACTCAGGATTTTACTTGGCGTCGACAGGAGCATGATTCCTCGCCAGTTTTTGCAGAGTCCCAGGTCGCCCTTCTTTGGTAGTTTCACTAGGTAACCTTTCCTCCAGTCAGTAGGCACCTTTCCCTCTTTCCAGATCTTTTGCATTAATGGAGTCAGCATATCTCCTGTCGTCTCTGGGTCCGCTTTCAGTGCTTCAGGGGGTATTCCATCTGGTCCAGCTGCTTTTCCAGCTTTCAGAAGCTTGATTGCATTCAAGAATTCAGCTTTCGTTGGACGATTGGTGTCAACTTGCAGTTGTGTACGTGCTGTTGTTGGTATTACAGGACGGGTTGTAGGTGGTGGTCGGTTCAAGAGTCCTTTGAAGTGGTCCGCCCATTGTTTAATCTGTCTTTCTTCTTTGGTAATTGGGTTCCCTTGGCTGTCTTTTATAGGTTTCACTTGTGTTGATCTCTTCCCAGATAGAAACTTCGTTATCTGATATAGTGTCCTCAGGTCCCTTTTGCCTGCTGCCTTCTCAGCTTCAGTAGCCAGGTTGTCGTAGAATTGTCTTTTGTCCTTCCTGGCACTCTTCTTCACTTCTTTGTCCAGTGCTGTGTAAGTTGAGCTCAGCGTCTCTTTCTCTTGTCCATCTTTGCATTGAATCATTTTCTCTTTCACCATTCTCCTCTCCTCTATTAGCTTCCAAGTGTCCGTTGAGAGCCATTCCTTGTCTTGTTTCTTCTTTCTTCCTAAAACCGTTGAACACTTTTCGTTGAAAATTACCTTCATAGAGTTCCAATGGTCTTCCACGGATGATTCCTCAGTGGTGCCATGTAGTGTTTCCTGCCTTGCTCTGACAGTTGCAGTGAAAGTGTCCTGTGTGATTGTGTCCTTCAGTTTGTGAGTGTTGAACTTGCATTGTGGCCTATCCCCAGGTATCCTCGAGGCTTTCAGCTTCACCTTGAAAGTCCCTTGTACTAGATAGTGGTCTGAACCCACATCTGCTCCTCTCCTCGATCTTGTGTCCAGTAGGCTCCGTCTCCACTTCCTTGAGATTGAAATGAAGTCTATCTGGTTTTTGGTGTGTCCATCTGGTGAAATCCATGTCACCTTGTGTATATCCCTGTGTTTGAACACACTGCCACCAATCACTAAATCATTGAAGGCGCAGAAGTCTGAGAAGAGTTCGCCATTTTCGTTCATTTCACCGAGGGCCTCACGACCCATGGTGAGTTCTCTTCCTGTGTTGTCTCCTCCCAGCTTCGCATTCATATCACCCATCAGGATTTTGATATCGCTCTTTGGGACGTTGTCCATTACTGTTTGTAGTTGACTGTAGAAATCCTCCTTCTTCTCATGTTCTGAGACGTTTGTAGGCGCGTAGCATTGAATGATTGTGACCTTTTTTCCTTTTGAGTTGAACCTGGGTGTCATTATCCTGGAGGAGATTGGTTCCCACTGCATGAGAGCTTTGGCCGCTGTTGGTGAAATCATGATGGCTACTCCCTCGGTGTGCTCGTGATCGTCCTCTGGGTGACCGGAGTAGATTATTCTCTCTCCAGTTGGTAGTTGGCACCTTCCGCATCCGTTCCATCTCCTCTCGTAGATTCCCAACACTTCTATTTTATATCTCCTCATTTCTGCGGCTACCTGAGCAGCCTTTCCAGTTTCGTACATTGTACGAACATTCCACGTCCCCATCCCTATTTTTGCTTTCATCGAAAGAAGGCACATCGGCTGACTGGCTTCCCGAAGGCTTTCACCAGCCTGCGTCATTTCACTTCCCCGATTCCAGCGAAAAATAAGGTTATTGTTTGTATTTTTAGAATTTTGAATATATTTGTGCGCTGAAGTTTTAGTAGCAATTAGGTTAAGTTTTGGGGTTGGAGTTGCTAGCACCACGCCCCAACCCTCCCTCTTTATCCGGGCTTGGGACCGGCTAGAATACTAGTGACCTAGTAATCTAGGCGAGCTTCTGCAACAGAATGCATATCCTAAATCCGTAGCTGTCGAGTCACCTGACAACTCCAGTAGGTCGAATAAAGCAGTTCAATCTTCAGAAAGAAGACAAAGCAATAAGTCCGACAGGGTGCTTCTACTAAACTCTAATCCTAAACAACAGAATTTTGAAAATACGTCTAATCATAAAATTCTTGATACTAACAGTTTGAACAGACATGAAGGCATGATGTTAGCTGATGCATAGGAAATCCTGATTAATAAATAAAAATGGATATGTATCACTAATTATTAATACTTGGTCAAAATTTTCGACTGTCCATACCTTCTTATGGAAACGTTAAGAAATGTTTTACAACTGTTTACCCCCACACACACATACACACTCTGTTTAAAGTGTTTAACAAAGGTAGACCAATATTTGTAAGTCCGAAGTCAAATTTTGATCACAGCTCATAAAATTTTGTTTATTATACTTGTTGATACTTTTTGAATGACTCATGATTGGACAAAGCTTTTAAAAACAAGAGATGTTCCTTTTGATATTTAAACCTATGTTATGTTAATTTCGATTAATTTCCCTGAAGAAGTTCGGACCAGATTTCCGAACCAAACGTTGGAATTACTCATTTCAATCTCGCTGAGATTTTACAAATATAATTTTTTACAAATGTCAAACAATAAACCCCTACAAAACAAATACTTGAGAAAAAAACAATAAACTGAATATCAGACAAATTAAGGAAAGTAATACAAAATTTATGAATTTTTAGGTTCTTGGAGAAGGCCAAGGTGACAACACTGGCTGAATCTGTTAATTTTGGATATGCAGCTCCGGTTGCTTTAAGAGAACTGCAGTAGCCACTGCTGTTTGGACTGTTCAGTATCTACAGGCTGTCGGTAATTTATTCGATACCCGGTAGATGAGATGATAGAGGAAAACTCTTCATTCTCAGCTTTATGACTCATTTCCACGAGGTGATTTAATGTTGAACTGTTGGTCTTTTATATGGACAAGGTTGCTTCGCAGTATGTCTGGTGTTCTGAGGAAAACCCTAATGTCGAGCTGATTGAGTGCTCTTCTGATATCGTCTGACGTCTCTGCTCTA